GAAGACAGTAGGTGATCAATAAACGGCAGCTATTTATAAAGTGGTTCTTAGTAATAAGTGATGATACAGATACATGTGTCTGGTGGAACTAAACAACAGGAATGCTCCAGCCTAGGCAACCAGTGTGAAACTCTGTCTCAAAAAAAAAAAAAAAAAAAAATATATATATATATATAGGGGGTCAGGCGTAGTGACTCTCGCCTACATGTAATCCCAGCGCTTTGGGAGGCTGAGGTGGGCAGATCACCTGAGGTCAGAAGTTTGAGACCAGCCTGACCAATATGATGAAACCCTGACTCTACTAAAAATGAAAAAATTAGCCAGGCATGGTGGCATAAACTTGTAATCCCAGCTACTCAGGAGCTTGAACCTGGGAGGCAGAGGTTGCAGTGAGCTGAGATAACACCATTGCACTCCAGCCTGGGCAACAAGAGCAAAATTCTGTTTCAAAACAACAACAACAACAACAATAGGAATGGAGCGTTTTTCTCTGCTAGAGTACAATTGGCCAGATGTCTGCTCCATAAAACTGGTCATTGTAGATTTTTTCTCTCTAGTCTCATTAGCCTTGTTTACTGCTTGGTACAAAGTTTAATTTTCACTGGTATAGGGCCTTATGTAGAAGTTCAAAACCCAGTTCTGAATTTCTGAACTCATATTTGTGCTGCTGTGGTCATAAAACAAAAACAGAAACAAAAACAAAACTGTATACTAGGAGTTGGAAGAAAACATTAGCTTTAAACCACTCATTGGCTAAATCAGGGGTTCTCAACCTTGGCACTGTTGATATTTTAGGCTGAAAAGTTCTCTGTTGTTGGGGGTTGTCATATGCACTGCAAGACATTTAGCACCATCCCTGGCCTATATCAATTAGATATTAGTAGCATCCTTTCTGTTGTGACAACCAAAAATGTCTCCAGATATTGTCAAATGTCCTCTTGGAGGCAAAACCACCCTCACCTCCACAGAGAACTATTGAGTTAAAGTAGTAGTCATTAATTTAAACTTTGGTTAGTTGGTTGATTTCATCTATTTTTGCTACTTTATAGATCAGAAGTTTTGTGGCATCCACATTAAATATTATTCTAAGGCATAATTAGGAAAGGTTATTATACTTTAAAAATCTACCGAAAGTATTGCAATTGCTTTGTTAGCAGATTAAATTTTTATTAGACATTTGGCATTAAAAGGTAATCAAAGGCCGTAAATTTTATATGAACAAACGTATTACTTCTCCTTAAAAAACGAAAACAGAAACAAAAACAAAGCAAATGAGTCTTCATATGGTGACAATCATGTGGAGTGCTCATCAAGTTCCTGTATCTTATTCCCAGCTTAGTAGGCTAAGGAATTCAGTTTTAAAATGTATTTGAAAGTAATTGTGCTCCAGGGAACTTACATATGCATTAGCCAAATTCATAGGATACTGATGTAACAACATCAATGTAACTATTCAATTTATAAAAAGAACTATAACCATCAAGAATAAGAATTGTTAGGCTGGGCACAGTGGCTCATGTCTGTAATCCCAGCACTTTGGGAGGTTGATTACCTAATTACCTGAATTTGATTTTTAATTGGGAGGATTGCTTGAGCTCAGAAGTTTGAGACCAGTCTGGGCAACATAGTGAAACCTCGTCTCTAAAAAAATAAAAATAAAATTTAGCTGGGCATGGTGATGCACACCTGTGGTCCCAGCTACTTGGGAGGCTGAGGTAGGAGGATTACTTGGGCCCCAGGAGTTTGAGGCTGCAGTGAGCCATGATCCAACAACTGCAGCATTTCAGTCTCAGTGACTCAGTGAGACCCTGTCTTAAAAAACAAACAGTTATTCATTTACAGTCAGTGCTTCAGTTAAGCACTTTATATGGATTATCTCAATCAATGTTATCAGTTCTATTATCATTTGATCATAGGAGCATCTAAGCTTAGTAAATTTAGGTCACACAACTAATAGGTTATAGAATTAGAATTCAAATCCAGGTAATAAAGACCATACTTTTAATGACAGGGGAAATGGATTCTTAGGTTTCCTGGTCAATTTATCACATCTGTTAAATTAGAGGTGTTTTTCTTTTTCCCCAGAATAAAAAGGTAATATATAGACATTGCAGAAAATATAGACTGTCCAGGATAATGTCTATATTCTAATCAGATAGACATGACTGCTGTCAACATTTTTTATATACTTTCTTCACTCTTTTACATATATTGTATACTGTAGCTGACTTCATACTACATAGGTAATGTTAAATATTTTTAAATATTTAAAATGTTTTTTCATGAGATAATTTCCTCAGGTCATTAAAAATTCCTTGTAAACATTATATTAATAGTTTTAATCACATATACGCAGTAATCATTTTAGCCATTCTCTTAATGTTGGATTTTAGATTTATATCAATTTACTTACCATGGTTAAGCATCTTTTCATAGAGAATGTTCTGGACTATCTCCTTATAATTTTCAAAAGAGAAATGATCAAATTAGATCATGTGAACACTCATAAGGTTGTTGATTTGACAAATAACTTTCCAAAATCTTTGTCCTGATTTATATCCCTCCCAGAGTATAAGTGTCCACTTCACTCTTCTGTCACCAGTGGAGTTTATTCACATTTTAAACATTGGGTAATTAGATGCCTGGGAAATAACCTCTCTATTGACTGTTTCTTATTAATGAGTTTGAATATTGGTAAAATGTATAGTAGGCATTTAAATTTCATATTTTGTGAATTGGCCATTATATATACTTTCCCCATTGATCTATTTAAGGTGTTTGTATCTTTTTTCTATTCTCTTTGTCCTCACACTGTACTGTATAAATACTTCTGTCCCCAATATGCATTTGTATATATGAGTCTCTGCTACTAGACTGTGGTTCCTCATGGGCAGTGGCCCCATTTTATTTTATTTGCGAACAATGCCTAACACATAGCAGGAAAAAGGCATACTGCACTTTGTAGAATTATTCTTAGGATTAAAAGAGATGGCCGGGCGCGGTGGCTCAAGCCTGTAATCCCAGCACTTTGGGAGGCTGAGGCGGGTGGATCACGAGGTCAAGAGATCGAGACCATCCTGGTCAACATGGTGAAACCCCGTCTCTACTAAAAATACAAAAAATTAGCTGGGCATGGTGGCGCATGCCTGTAGTCCCAGCTACTCAGGAAGCTGAGGCAGGAGAATTGCCTGAACCCAGGAGGCGGAGGTTGCGTTGAGCCGAGATCGCGCCATTCCACTCCAGCCTGGGTAACAAGAGCGAAACTCTGTCCCAAAAAAAAAAAAAAAAAGAGGATTAAAAGAGATAATGTAAGCAAAGCATCTAACACACTGTCACATAGCAGATTCTCAATACATACATTATTTTAGGCAATCAAAAGTTTTGCTATTTCATGTTGTTGTTTAGGAAAACCAAGGTTAGAGATTAAGAATCTTTGAAAGATCAGGAACTATAGTTGTCAACTGCAGATTTAGGATGTGAACCCTGATTTTAAAATCTTTCATCACAAATCACATGTGGCTGGAATACTCGAGAAATTATAATTCTTGCAATTTTTTTTCTTTTTCGAGACGGAGTCTTGCTCTGTCGCCCAGGCTGGAGTGCAGTGGAGCGATCTCAGCTCACTACAACCTCTGCCTCCGGGGTTCAAGCGATTCTCCTGCCTCAGCCTCCCAACTAGCTGGGATTACAAGTGCCCGCCACCACACTCGGCTTTTGTATTTTTGGTAGGGACGAGGTTTCACCGTATTGGCCAAGACGGTCTCGAATTCCTGACCTCAGGTGATCCGCCAGCCTCAGCTTCCCAAACTGCTGGGATTACAGGCCTGAGCCACAGCGCCTGAGCAATTCTTGCAATTTTTGCAAGATCAGTATGAACTGTAAGCTATTACATACCTTTGAGGAACTCCTTTTTCCCCCAGTCTGTATCTGATCCCACATGGATGTCTCTTCCTTTGTTTTTATTTTTATTATTTTTAGGGATACGGTCTGGTTCTGTTCCTTAGGCTAGAATGCAGTGTTCCCATCAGTGCTCACTGCAGTCTTGACCTCCTGGGGTTAAGTAATCCTTCCACCTTAGATTCCCAACCAGTAGCTGGAACTACAGGCATCAACAGGCCTAGCTAATTTTCTTATTTTCATTTTTAGTAGAGACAGGGTCTTGCTATGTTGCCCAGGCCTGTCTGGAACTCTTGACTTCAAGCGATCCTCCCGCCTCTGCCTCCTAAAGTGCTGGGATTACAGGCGTGAGCCATCGAGCCCGGTCTCTCATTTAAATTTATAGGAATCTTGTGGTAAAAAAAATAGCAAAGCTCAACAAGCATAAAAATACATCAAGTGAGTGACATTTTATTTCTCCATCAGATAAGTCAGCTTTTGCTTTTAGACAGGGAAACAACTGAAACAACTGTTCTAGTGGCCGCTTAAAAAAAAAAAAAAAAAAAAGCAGAACTAACGCAGCGAAGGGAAGGAAAAGGTCGCTGGGAATGTCCAGTCAGCTGGAGTGCTTGGAGCTCGGGGTTGGGTTGGGAGCATTTCTGTTGCTGCCGGGCGGAGGAAGGGGAAGAGGGGGAGGAGTGGGGGCAGCGGGTAGTAAAACCAGTTTGAAGTAAACAGAAAGTTAGGTTTTCCGAGGGGCCAGCAGCGCGGAGAGCAGGCCCAGCCGGCGGCCAGGCAGGCGGATCTGTGCAGTAGAGACCGGAACGCCGCGCCGGCTCAGGGTCGGGGAAGCAGCCTCTAGGTCAGCGAAGGGTAAAGGAAGTCAGATACTGACGCGAGTGGCCTCCCGATCCTGGCGTCGAGTGGGAAACCTAGTCCCGATCTAAGGCTGAATCTTCAGGGGTCCTCGTCACCTCAGAACCCACTCAGACACTTCCGGTAAGAAGCCAAGCGCCCCGGCTCGGAACCTGCATCGTTGTGCGCAGGCGCCTTGGGCCTGGAGAAGGCCGCGGACGCCGAGGGAGGGGGCGTGTGAGCCGAAGGGAAGCCTCCTCTGCGCCTGCGCTCTCAGCGGGGCCAGTGGGGCGGGGAAAGAAACCCAGAGCCGGCGTCTGGCACTCCCAGGACTCCCGGCCGGGGTCGCTCTTCACTCCTCAGCTCGACGTCGCGTCGAGTGCGCAAAAAGCTTCTAAGGGGTGTGGGGAGGTAAGAGCCCCCCGCGACCAGTCGTCTAGGCCTTCCCTCAGCCCTGCTGTTCCCACAGAGGGGGCGGGGTGGCAGCTGGACCTGCCGACCTGGGTGCTGGGTCTGGCCCTCCTCCTCCTCTGGGGACAGAGCCTGGGCCCCGACCGACTCCTTTTCCGAATCCCCGGGGGTACCCTGGCCCTCCAATTATCTGTCCTCTCCTGGAGCCTGAAGGGCCAGACCGTACTGGACCGGGAGGGCAATCACGGCGGCTGTTTGCCTGGTTCCACCCTCCTTGGCCGCCCGAGTGGCCGGCGCTCCTGGAGAAGAAACCCCTGCGGGTGGAGGGAGAAGCGCCCTGGCTTCACCGTCCCGTCTGGGGAGGGGCCACGACTGCGGAGGAGACTGTGGTTCTTCGGGGGTGGCAGAGGCTTGGTCCCTGCAGAGGAATCTCTTCGCTGCCGGTGCCTTCGCACTGCCCATTCCCGCACCCGTGCTTTTCTCTTCGTTAGAGACCAAAAGGATGCAGTAGACGTCTTTCCCGCTGCCTTTCCTTTGGTACTTTTGAGAAACTCCAAAAAGAGGACCTTGTTTTTAACTCAACTAATTTGTACTACCGTGATTGCAAATATTATGTTCCAGACTAAGGATGTTCTTTCTTGTTAGTTTGACTTGCATGGAAACCAGTGCATGCATTTGATAATAAGTTAATCTTTTCAATGTAAAAAAAAGGCACTTTGTTGATTCAATCAGATTCCTCCGTTTATTCACTTGAGCTTGTCATTTCTTGAGTTGGCAGGAGTTTAATGGTTTGATCCAGTAGAACTATATATAATTTTTCGCCTAATTTCTTCCTCTTTTTCTCTCCTGGATATTAAACTGCATGCTTAGTGGGAAAAATTTAAAAAACAATAAAGAATAAGGAAAAATGATCAGTCGTAATTGCACCATGTGATGGTAATCAGTCACTTTTAATATTTTGACTTTTTCCCTTTGAGTCATTTTTCCCCCTGTGCATTTTCTTAATTGAGATGAGATTTTATATCGTTGGATTGTCTGCTTTCCTTGATTTAAATGATATAAGCATTTCCCCATGTTTTAAAAAAGCTTCGTAGAAATGACGTCTTGATTATACATGAGCAAAGTATCTCTTGAAACAGTTAAAGCCAAATTCCCATTAATTATCCCCAATCATAATGTTACATGATAGGATAGTGCCACAGTTCCTTTAATGTTTCACTAAAAAATTATTCACTACAAAATTATGGGGATAATTACACTAAAAAATTATTGAGGACCGGCTGGGCATGGTGGCTCATGCCTGTAATCCTAGCACTTTGGGAGGCCGAGGCAGGTGGATCACGAGGTCAGGAGGTTGAGACCAGCTTGGCCAATATGGTGAAACCCCGTCTCTACTAAAAATACAAAAATTAACTGGGCATGGTGGCGTGCGCCTGTAGTTAGAAGAATCGCTTGAATCCAGGAGGCGGAGGTTGCAGTGAGCTGAGATTGCGCCACTGCACTCCAGCCTGGGCGACAGAGTGAGACTGTCTCACACACACAAAACATAAATAAAAATATTGAGAACCAATACTAGTTTTTGGTTCCTAATGCAGTATATTTACTATTTTGGAAATTAAAACTGAGAAAACTGAAGTGTTTTACTTATTTATTTAAAAATAAAAGACTCATATATTAAATACTTTTTGAGTGAAAAATAACTATTTTCTAAAACAAAACTTAGGAGTGTGGCATTGTTTTAAATTTTTGCAAATCACTTTAATGTTTGGCTTTATAGAAGACAGCTGGATTTTCATATTTGCTTCTGTTCAGTCTGTTGTGCTATCTGGCTAAGGTTGAAGCATATGAAGAAAAGCCAGCCTTGCACAGATATGTAGTAGGAAAAGGGAAGAGATCTTACAAGCCTGCTGAAAGGATCCCTGGGACATCCAAGGATCCTGAGACCACAGTTTGAGAAAGCTGATTTAACCATTCTTAGACTGATGGGCTGTTCGATTGTTTAAAATTTTGCACTATTACAAACAAACATTGCAACAGTGAAGGTTCTTTGTGATGTTTTCTGGTGTACCAGTGCTAGTATTTTTCTGTAAGTAGAATTGCTAGGTCATAGAGTTTTGCTTTTTTTTTTTTTTTTTAAGTTTGTTAAACACAAACACAAAGTGTGATGCCTGTGTAATTTTCTCTTGTGCACTAATGTTGGTGTTCACATTGTTTCAACTAATGATTTGGTAAAATATCTTTGCATGCTTTTAGTTGTTTTGAGTTATTTTCTCTTTGGGGGCTTGGGGGGAGTCCAGTAAAAGCCAGACAGCTGGCCAGGTGGGGTGGCTCGGCTCATGCCTGTAATCCCAGCACTTTGGGAGGCCAAGGTGGGTGGAACACTGGAGGTCAGGGGTTTGAGACCAGCCTGGCCAACATGGTGAAACCCTGTCTCTAGGTGTGTGCCACCACATCTGGCTAATTTTTCTATTTTTAGTAGAGATAGTAGACAACTAAACTGGGAGATAGTACCAGTTTATTTCTTGTCAGCAGTGTCTGACATGCTTTAAAAAAAACCAAACAAACAACACACCCTTACTGACATTGAGTACTTTTATAATTTTAAAAAATGGTTTCAATTTAGTAGGCAATAAATGGTATATGTTCTTATTCTCATTACTTTGATAGTGCACTGAATATTTTTGGTAATCTTAATAGTTGTCTGCTAATATTATTTGCCCATTTATAGTCTAGTGTCCAAGTGTTTTTCTAACACATTTTTTATCTTCTTAAATATATTGTAAGGATATGTTCTATACTTTTTTTTTTAAGGAAAAGAACAAAATTGTGTTTTCTGTATTTACAAGAGTACATGCTTATTTTAAAAAAGTAAAAGACTATGAGACATGTCGTGTAGCCCTGAAATGCTTGCATAATCCCATTCCTAGATTTACAGTATTACTAACATCATTAATGTTTGTTCCTTCATTTTTTTTTACTGTGCCTTTGTTATTTTTTTTTTTTTTTACAACTTATTTGTAAAAATAGGTTGGCACTATGCATAGTTTTGTGATTTGATTTTCTTTCTTTTAACATTATATGTTGGATATTTTTCTACAGCAGTACATGTAACTGGGCAAAGTTTATCCTGGGTGGTTTTAGGAACATGAATTGTGATATTTAGTTTTCTGATGGCAGGCTCTTGTCCTCTTCTAAATATATTCCCTTCCTAGGTGATCTCATCCATTAAGAGCTGTGTGTTGCCAATTCCCAAATCTTTATCTCAGACTCCTCTCCTGCATTCCAGATTCTTATATTCAGCTGCCTTTTGGATATTTCTCCCAGGATGTTCTCAAGGTACTTCAAACAGTCCAAACGTGAACTCATGTTTTCCCTTAATCCTGCTCCTCTTTGTATTGCCTGTCATGGTCAGTGGCACCACCATCTACCCTAGACACTCATGGTGGAAACCTGGCACTAATCCAGCTTTCTCCCTTGCTTTCAGTCTCCAAAAGTTCTCATTCTTTTGCCACTTTTATTTCATTTTATTATTTTTATTTGAGACAGGATCACACTGTATTGTCCAGGCTGGTCTCAAATTCCTGGGCTCAAGCTGATCCTCCCACCTCAGGCTCTGGAGTAGCTGGGACCACAGGGGGGCATCACCATGCCTGGCTCATTGTAGCCACCTTTATATCTGTTTCCTTTATTTCTCCACTGCACTGCCTCAGCTCAGGCCTTCACCTCTTCCCTTAACCATTTTAAGTGTCTCCTTACTACTGGTTTTGTTGGTTGTCTGATTAATCTTCCATGTTACTGCCAATTTTTTTTAATCATGAAGAGATTTTTAAAAACCATTTTATTGGAAATATTATGAAGATTTTTTTCTTAAAAGTATATAAATAGCCAAGTGAATAAAAATACTACCTAAAATAAGTCACATGTACATATAAATAAACCTATTTAAAAAGGGAGTACTGCTGGGCTTGGTGGCTCACGCCTGTAATCTCAGCACTTTGGGAGGTCGAGGCGGGCGGATCACCTGAGGTCAGAAGTTGGAGACCAGCCTGACCAACATGGTGAAACCCGGTCTCTAAAAAATAAATAAATAAATAAATAAAAGAGAAAATAAATTAAAAAGGGAGTATATGTTATATTTCTTTTATGTCTTCTAAATGTGGTAGATTGTTGGCACAGAAAGTACATCTTGATTGAAAGGGAATTGTATGCAACGTGAGATTTCATGTTAAAACATTTGGGTATACCATATTAAATTGTCATACCTTTTACAAATTGTTATATTGTCTTTTTTATATCTTTCTTGGCACCTCAAATAACATAATGCTTAGTAGAGCATTGCTATATAGATAAGAATGTTTTGTAAATAGATGTTAATTAATGAATTCCATAATTTATTTAAAAAAAATTCTCTGGCTGTTGCTAATAAGAAACTATTTCTAGACCTTTCAGGCTGGGCGCGGTGGCTCACGCCTGTAATCCCAGCACTTTGGGAGGCCGAGGCGGGTGGATCACGAGGTCAAGAGATCGAGACCATCCTGGTCAACACGGTGAAACCCCGTCTCTACTAAAAATACAAAAAATTAGCTGGGCATGGTGGTGTGTGCCTGTAATCCCAGCTACTCAGGAGGCTGAGGCAGGAGAATTGCCTGAACCCAGGAGGCGGAGGTTGCGGTGAGCCGAGATCGCGCCATTGCACTCCAGCCTGGGTAACAAGAGCGAAACTCCTTCTCAAAAAAAAAAGAAACTGTTTCTAGACCTTTCAGTTTCTGTGCTTTGTTAAATACATCCTATAGTCAGAGTTCTTTTACTACTACTTTTTACTGTTATGTTTATTTTAAATTTAATGTTTATTTTATCAAAGGGATACCTGTACATAAAGAGTTAATTAATACTTCATGGATTATAATGAAAAACTGGCTGGGTGCGGTGGATCACGCCTGTAATCTCAGCACTTTGGGAGGCTGAGGCAGGAGGATCACATCAGCCCAGGAGTTTGAGACCAGTTTGGGCAGCATAGTGTGACTTTGTCTCCACAAAAAATAAACAAAATTAGCTGGGTCATGGTGACACACATCTGTTGTTCCCTTTACTTGGAAGGCTGAGGTTCCTTTGAGGATCGATTGAGCCCAGCACTGTGAGTTGATATCTTGCCACTGCAGTTCAACCTGGGCAACAGAGTAAGACCCTGTCTCAAAAAAGAAAAGAAAAGTAAAGAAAAATGACAATCTTCTGGCTCAGTCCTTCTCACCCCTGAATCCCACTCTCCAGAAGCAGTCTATTCTCAATCAGTGCTTTCTTTCTGAATCATTGAACAAGAAAAATGATTTGAGCACCTATTTTCTTAATTCTCCCAAGGATGGCACATAGCTAATATGATAGATGCATAGGAAAGAAGCTAGTTTATTACATAAAATAGAAGTGTTAGGGCAATAAAGATTAATTCTCTCGCTGAACCTTAATTGAGAAAGTCTGCTCCAGAGTCAATGACTTAAATTCTTTTTCACTTGCAGTTTTTAAAAACATGTTTAGATATACAGCGATATTCCCTCCCCACTCCTAATGCAATTTTAGATACTACTTATTTCCTATTACAGAAGATGAGAATTTAGGTTTTTTTCAACCAACTCCTACCTTTAAACACTGCTTTTCACTATAACTCCTCTCCCTTCTATATTCTTAAATTAGTTATATGTTAACTTTTAGTTACTTGGTGTTTGCATCACTTTATGTAAATATTGTATGTAGATGACCTGGGTAAGTGTGAGGTTATTTCCTTTCTTGTATAATTTTTGTTTTTCCTAGTTAATAATTATCTTAATTATTTTGTACATGTACCTTACCTTTCATGTTTCTTTATAAATATATGTTTTATATCTTTTTAATGTGTCTTTTGTATTCTTTATTTGATGTATTAACCTCTTGAACCAGATAGTCAGTCTCCTTTTAGTAGATTCAAACACATCTGATAATGTTCGTTTTGCAACATCTTTCCTATAATGTGCTGGTCATCCTGCCTCCATCTTGATGGGTTGCTCTCTAGGCCCGTTGCACAGCTTTTTTCCTGGACTGCCCTTTTATAGTCATTTGTGAATTGCATTTGTCTCTTCTGTGTGGGTAGCCTCTTTACTGGATTTCAGGTTTTCCTTTTTCTTGGTATCTCCCTTATATTGGCAGAGCAGATCTTTTAGTAGTTTCCTGAGAAAGACTGAATGAGATGCAAATATTTTGGGTTCTTGCATGTCCAAACATTTTTTATTTAACCCTCACATTTATGATAGCTAATTCTTTGATTGTGACCTGTTATATCTCTTTGGAATCTTTTATATTTATTCGGCAAGTATGTATTGAGCACATTTTATGAGCCAGGCACTGGCTAAGACCTTTTTAATATATAGGTGAAGAAAAATAAGAGATCCATGTCCTTATGGAGCTTAAATTCAGTGAGGTAGGAATGAACAAATTATACAAAATGTAATGAACAAATTATACAAAATATTGGGAGGTTGTAAATAACTGCTTTAGAAAAGAGAAAAAAGGAGAGCAAGATGGGGTGAGATGTTCAGGCACGTTGGGGAAAGGAGAGGTGGGGGATGCAGACTGTAGTGTAAAATGGGGTGATCTTCCCTTAAACCATTCAGGTATTCTGAAATTTCACAATGATGTTGGTTGGTAAGAGTTTTTCATTCATGTGTTGGGCCCCAAATAGGCCCTTTCCATTTGGAGACTGTATCTGTGGTGTTTTATTTGACAATTTCTTCTTTCCCTCAGTTCCTTCTTTCTGGACTTCTTTTATTTGAATATTAAACCTCATTAGATTGATTCTCTAATTTCTAATATTTTTCTCTCTTGTTTTCCATCCCTTTTTTTTTTTGTTCTGTTTTCTAGGATATTTTCTCAGCATTATTTCTAACACCTTGATTGCATTTTTAAAAATAAACATTTTATTTTGGAAGTTTTAGATTTACAGAATTATTGCAGACAGTATGGAGAGTTCCTATATACTCCACACCCAGTTTATTATTAACATCTTAGATTAATATGGTATATTTGTTATAACTAGTGAAACTAGTATTGATACATTATTAACTAAAGGCTATACTTTATTCGCATTTCCTCATTTTTCCCCTAATATGCTTTTTCTGTTTCAGGATCCCATCCAGGGTAGTACATTACATTGAGTAGTCCTGTCTCCTTAGACATCTCTTGATTGTGATAGTTTCTTAGACATTCCTTGTCTTTGATACTCTTGAAAGTTTTGAGGATTACTGGTTAGACGTTTTGTAGAGTGTCCGTTGGGATTTGTCTCATGTTTTTCTCATGATGATATTGTGGTAATATGTTTTGGGGAGAAAGACAACAGAGATAAAGGACAGTTTTCATCAATGCATACTGTCAGTGTGACTTGCCACTTTCAATGTTGACCTTGATCACTTGACTTGATTTAGTATTTGTCAGGTTTCTTCATTGGAAGTTAGTATTTTCTTTTTTTCTACTGTTCTGTACACTTAAGTAGAAAATCACTGTGCACTGCACACCTAAGGAAGGGGGAGTTTACTTGCTCTAGAGCAAAAAATCTACATAAATTATTTGGATTTTTTTTTTTTTTTTTTGCATGGGAAATTTGACTTTTCCCCATTCATGTATTCAATCATTTACTTAGGTCAGTATGAACACATAGATTTTTTTTTTTAAATTTGTTGGATTATACTTCAGTACTACACTTTTATTTTGTCCCAGCTTTGGCCATTGAGAGCTCTTTCACTTGGCTCTTGTATCTCTTTGACATACTCCCATTGTTGTATGTGTGCATGTGAACTTTTACTTTCTGGCATTACAAGACACTCTGTGCTCATTTTGTTTATTTCCTGCCCTAGTTTTAGAAGCAGCCATTTCACCAAGGAGCTTGGTTCCTTTTGTCGGAGAATTTTATTAGAAACCAAGATCTGGGTGCTGAGTATGTTTGTTGTCCCTGGGATTTTATTTTCTTCTAGGCCCTCTGAGCTGACAAAAACAAGGAGATTTGTTAGTATATGTGTTTATACTAACCTGTATTACACATATCTGTAAATATTTCTGTGTGTAACCATCAATATCCATATTAAGCTAAACATGAGTTTATATTGATGTCTTCAACTATTACCATATAGATTATTTTAGCTTCCTCCCCTGTTTAGCCATACCTCCTCCTTCAACAGTGAGAAACTTGGCTTCCACCATCAGCCATTCATTTACTTAATTGTTCAATTTCAGTATACAGGTATAGTGATTTCAGAATTGTTAACCTATACCACCATGGAAAGCAACTTTATCAACTAGGGTAGAGTGCCTGTCTTTCCTTTCTTTAGTCTTACATATTCCACTCATTTCCAAAGGTCAGTATATTGTTCCTCCATCCCCTGTGATGGGGTTTTTTCATGCATTTGGAATACAGTTAGACTCCTTGTCACATTCTGCTTTCCAATCTAGGATTCCCAAGTCTCCTAAATAATTTTTTGAAAATTTGCATATTGAGGTTTATTCTTTAGGCTGTGAAGTTTTATGGGTATTAGCACGTGGTTATCTTACATTTGCCATTACTACCCTAAAAAATATGTGCTTCACATATTCATCTCTCCCCCACTTTAAACCACTGGCAATCATTGGTGTTTTGTTGTCTCTGTAGTTTTACCTTTTCTAGAATGTTACATAATTAGAATCATATAGTATGTAGATTCTTTCACTTAGCAATATACATTAAGATTCACTCATGACTTTCTGTGACTTGATAGCTCATTTCTTTATATCACTGAATTATATTCCATTGGATAGACGTGTGATGGTTAGTTTATCCATATACCTAATTAAGGACACCTTGATTGCTTCCAGTTTTTGGCAGTTATAAATAAAGCTGATTATACGCATTCACATCTAAGTTATTGTGTGAACGTAAATTTTCAAATCAGATAGGTAAATACCTATAGCACAATTGCTGGATTATATCGTAATATTATGTTTTGTAAGAGACCACCAAGTATTCTCCCAAAGCGGCTACACCATTTTGCATTCCCACTAGCAATAATAAGATTTATCTCTTGTTTGACATCCTCACAGTGACATTCTAGTAGATGTGAAGTGGATATCTCATTGTTTTAATGTGCAGTTCTCTAAAGACAAATGATGTTAAGCATTTTTCGTATTCTTATTTACCATGCTTATATCTTCTTTGGTGTATGCCCATTCGGCACTTTTGCCAGTTTTAAATTGTATTTTTTTTCTTCTTTTTCTTCCCTTTCACTTTTTGCCTTTTCTCTCCTTTCCTTTCCTTTCTCCTCTCCTTTCCTTTCTTTCCTTCCTCCCCTTCTCTCCCCTCCCCTCCTATCATTTTTTTTTTTTTTTTGATAGGGTCTGATTCTCTTGCCCAGGCTGGAGTGCAGTGGCATAATCATACCTGACTGTAACCTTGAACTCCTAGGCTCAAGCTATCCTCCCTTCTCAGCCTCTCGAGTAGCTAGGACTATAGGTGTGCGCCACCACACCCAACTAATTTTTAATTTTTTTCTTAGAGATGAAATTTCTCTATGTTGCCCAGGCTGGTCTTGAACTCCTGGCCTCAAATGAACCTCCCACCGCAGCATCTTAAAGTGCTGGGATTATAGGTGTGAGCCACCATGCCTGGCCTTGGATTATTGTCTCGTGAAGTTTTAAGAGTTCTTTATAGATTTTTAGATACGAGTCCTTTATCAAATATGTGCTTTGCAAATATTCCAGTCTATGGCTTGTCTTCTTATTCTCTTAACTGTTGCAGAGTGGAAATTTTACATTTTAGTAAGATCCAATTTACCAATTTTTTT